TACGCCGGCTGCGCTCCGCCTGCGCTGACAGTAGACCTGGTTTCAGCTGGCGAGCTTTTAGCGCACCTTCGGCGAAGCCTTTTGGCACGAAACTGTCACTGCGCCAAGCTGGATCTGTCGACACCTCCCCCTGCTGCGCCGCCACACCCATCTCAGCGCACCTCGGTCTGCCAAACTACCAAACTGAGCACGCCTCGGGTTGTGCTGCTCGAAACTAGCTCTGCGCGGGGTTCGCCACCCTGCGCTGTGCCGGGAAACTAGAGCCCATCGAGATCCTTCAGCAGGAGATGGAAAGCGTCACTGGGGAGAGGGATGTCTGAAGTACTTTGCTCAGTCATCAACTGCTTAATTTCTGTTCGAGCAAACTATTCAAAAAAGTTGAGCACCCAAGCATAAATCAGCCTTAATATATAACAAGACACAGAAAAAATGTTTAAATTGAAAAACTTACACGTGATATTGAGCTCTCTCAGTCTCTTAAGTTCACCTTGTTGCATGTTGAGAAGTTTCTCTTGTTGAATGACCTTTTCCATTTGTGCATGTGCAAATGTTTCTGTTGTATAGCAGGATGGTTTCTTTTTAGATTGGCAATTTTTTTCCACAGCATCCAACAGCTCTGGGATCTGCTGCTGGTCCCTGATGTTGAGAACAACATATCTTCCTCCACAGCTCTGACTGAGCTCCTGGATGTCTTTTTTTTTTTTTATAAAGTTAACAATAGTTGTTGCTGTAGGATCTGATTCCACAGTGAACAGGATCAAGGTGAAGTCATTGACTTGAGAGCTGAATGTGTTCCTGATGGTCTCTAACTCTCCCTTGTCTTCATCAGTGAGGGGACCCACAGGTAGGACCAGGATGAAGGCATGGACGCCCTCAGGATCACAGAGGGAGATACACCTGAATGATTCCTCCATCACTGCCTCCTGAGGTTTTCCATACAAGGCAGGCAGCTCCACCAGGGAAACCCAACGTCCACACACCTCTCCCTGATGTTTAACACACTCTGATGAGCTGGAGACTGAATGAAGCTCTGTTTGACCTAAAATGGCCTTGGCTGCTGTAGTCTTCCCTGCTCCTCTCCTCCCACACAGGACCAGGTTTAAAGCTGCTCTGATGGGTTCAGACTTTGGTCTGATGGGCTCTTCAGTGAAGGTGAGGAAGGTTTCTTTGTTTTCATTCACAATGTTCTCAATCTTCTCCATTAACAGTCTGTGGTTATCTTCCAACATGTTGTAGTGTCTTCCTCCACAGTCTTTAAGGAGCTGACTGAAAGCAGGGCTTGCTTTACTCTCCTCATGTGTGCTGATGACCATCGAGTGTTTGAAGGCATCTTGACCAAACAGACTCAGGATGAACTTCAGTGTTTGTCTGTTCTTCTCACTGAACTCAGAAGGTTTCACTAACAGCAGCAAAACATTTGGTCCAGGGAGAGAAAGAGTCACACAGCTTCTCATCTCTTCTCTAAAGGCTTCCACAGACAGACTGAACATGTCTGGAGTTTTCACGACTTTCAAAGACTTTCCTCTCCACTCTCCACTGGTTACCTCACATTGCTTGTTGATGTTTATTTTGTAAAATGCCGACTGTTTGCTTCCGATGATAAAGTTGCATACTGTTTTCTTTTTGTCTTCACCTTTTCCAAACATCACAATCCTGGGTTCATGAGCTATAAAATAACAAAGATACAGCATTAGTCACATAAGATTCCTCTGAGCACATTGTCCTTACTTACCAATTCATCATATTTGCAATTTGTCATTAACTTAACAAAGACGGTTAAAGACAACAATAAGTGGTTGCTTATCATTGTTTCCATTGTAACTATGTGCCCTACACTTTTAAATGTATAAACCATTATTCTCTAGGAAACAAATACTAAATAAAATCAACCAAATCTCTGACTGATACTGCAGATGTTGACATATGTCCCATTGTTATATACACACACCGATCAGCCATAACATTAAGTGAACGTCAGCCATCTCTTTACAATGCCCTGTTTTGATTGTGAAACCATGGGTCCTGGCATTCATGTGGATGCCTCTTGCCACACTCCACCCACTCAAACACAATTTCATACCAAGTACACCCCGTCATGGCAACAGCATACCTCAGTGGCAATGGCCCATCAGCAGGACAATGCACCGTGCCAGACCATAAAACCTGCTCAGGAATGGATCTAGGAACAGGACAAAGAGCTAAAGGCAACAATTTGCCCTCCTAATTTCCCATATCCCAATCAGATCAAGCATCTGTGGCATGTGCTGGTACCCCACCTCACAACCAACTGGTCTCAAAGGATCCATCCCCCTGTGCCAGACACCACAGGACACCCCCACAGGTCCTGTGTCTGTACCTAGGCATGTCAGAGACAAATCTGATCCCCACTGTGGACTGGGAGTACTTCAGGTGGTACCTGCTTGGTCAGATAAGGGTCTAGGCAATTAAGAGGCCATGTTGATGCCTTGATTTCTTTGTCAGCTCCTTGGGCCATTCTTGAACAGTTTTTGCAGCGTGGCATGGTGAATTGTCCTGCTGGGAGGGCCAATGCCTTTGGCAAGTGCCACTGTATGACAGGGAGTACTTGGTCTGCAATGGTGTTTGGGAGGGGGGGAGTGCGTCAAGTGGCATCCACATGGATGGACCAAACGTTTCCCAGCAGGACATTACATTGTAAGGAGATGGTGAGTATTATTACCTTCACCTGCCAGTGGTTTTAATGTTTTGGCTGATTGGTGTAGACTGCCATTGTATGTTTATGGACGATGAGAACATGATTTACTTACACTGGTGCGACAGGATGTTTTCACTGGGAGCTTTTGCCTCTGTAATAAAGTCACAGTAGTGTCAAGCATGACAGCATGATTCCACAGTAATTTGTAATTATGAATTATAATGTTCTCATTAACTGAAGTACTGTCCTGCACTTACCAGAAGCTTTTGGTAGATCCAAGTTAAAACTGACTCCTTCCGTTTGTTTCACGCTTTCCTGATCCTGTGCTGCATCTTTATACACATCACAGATCAGATGGTCTCCATTGTTCTCTTTCACAATTTGACCCAATCGTGTTAACAGCTCTGAACGTTCAAGGTTCTTCTGCTTCAGGTATCTGTATCTACATTTTTTGATCATGTCTTTTAATGGCAGCTGTTGAGTGTATTTTTTACTGACGTAAATTCTGGGTGTTGAAATCAGTATCAATGAATGATCAAATGATTGATCACTGAAGCGTTTCTGGACTCTGCAGAGTCTCAGTTTGTGTTCCTCAGTGAAGTCTTCAGGCTGTAGAACCAGCAGGAACACATGAGGTCCAGGATCAGAGAGTCTCACACACTTTTCTACATGTTCTGACAGTTTGTCTTCAGAGATGTTGGGATGGAGCAGATCTGGAGTGTTGATGATAGCTATCTTTTTCTCCTCTAACTGTCCACTGACTCTCAGACAGCAGTCTGGTTCTTCCTCAGTGTTGAACACAGTCCCTCCCAGTATGACGTTCCCCACTGAACTCCTCTGAGACCAGCTGTTCCCCAGCAGAACAACCCTCAGCTCAGGCACTGAAAAGAAAAACACTGTATTAGAAAAACCCTCTTGGTGTAGACATCTACCAACATGAATTACAATAAAATTGGGTTTACAACCAGTGAGGAAGTCACAAACTTTTCTTAGGTGGACTTCATCATCTTGAAAACAATCACCAATGAACTTACAAATATTACAATAAAATTAAATGTGAGTATGTACTCACCAACTACAAACAATGTAATTTTAGATATACTATACATTCTGACTCAGTTTAACTCACTATCAGGTGGCAGTTATTCATAGCTGCTGCTCTGCTTCAGTGGTTTCAGATCTTCTGTCACTGTAAGGATGCAGAAAACTGATTTAAGAGGGCACTTGCTGTTGATGTTTGTGTATTCATATGTTATGTGACTGTGTTGTCACTTGCTCAAGTTAAAACTATATAAATAAAGCTTCTGCCTTTGATCCAGACAAAAACAGTCTCCAGACAAAACTCAGATCAGGACTGAGGAACAACATGGTGCATCTCTGAGAAACATTTGAGTATTTTCTTCCAGAATTCAGACACCTTAATGCATGATTACACTAGGTAGGAGATTCAACCAAGTATTTAATCAGAATCAGCTTTAATGGTCAAGTATGTGTGCACATGAATGGGATCTGACTCCATTTGTTTTGTTGCTCTCATTGTACATATGCAGAAACAGACAAAGCTAAACACGCTAAACAAATGTTTGAGTTGTACATACAGGTAAAGCTATCTATCTATCTATGACATTGAAATCACTACTGAAACCTCTACTGGAAACCAAAAAAATATCACGGGATGCATACGACCATTTAATACCCACAGCTAACGCCACCCCCCAGATATATATGGAACACCAAAAATACACAAGAAAGACACCCCACTGCGCCCCATTGTTGACAACATCAGATCAGTCACATACAACCTCTCAAAAGCTCTGGTTGAAATAACCAAACCCCTCCTCGGTACAACAGAACACCATTGCAAGAACTCCAAACAACTGGCACAAGAACTCAACAATGTAACAGTAGACAAGACAAAAGACAAAGACAAAATCCTCATTTCACACGACGTCATGTCACTATTCACAAAAACCCCGTTAACGTCACTCTACACATTGTACAAGAACGCCTCAAGGAAGATAGGACCCTCAAAAAACGCACAAATCCAACAGTTGAAGACATCTACACACTTTTACACTTCGTTGCAAAATCCACCTATTTTCAGTTCAAAGGTAGAATTTACAGACAGAAAGAAGGCTTTGTAATGGGAGATCCACTATCCGCAATAATGAGCAGTTTTTTCATGGAGGACCTGGAAACCAAAGCCATCCATACAGCACCCACACACTGTAAACCCACACTCTGGAAAAGATACGTTGATGACATCCTGCAACAAATAAAAGCTCACAGATCATCTGAACACCATGGACAACACCGGCAACATACACTGCACACATGAAGAGTAAATAAACCGGACCATATCATTTCTGGACATGAACATTCACCACAGAGAAGATGGCTGCATTAAAATCACAGTTTACTTGTGATTTGCTGCTGTTGTGCACACCCTCCATCTATCATTCATTTGCTAGTCTTTGCAGATTCATCAGCCTGTCAGTCTCAGGGGGGATTTCTCTTGCTGCTGCTGCTCAGGGCAGACACCATGTAGAGTCTAAGCACCAAAGTTAAATCATCACATTTGTTGTAACCTGTATTAAACAACTGTCTTTACTTCATTTACCTGTCTCTCCTGGTTAAACATGAATTTGCCGCGATATTTACAAGCCAATCACATATTGCCTTCAAACTTTAAATCTAAGTCTCCTCTCCGCTACTGTCATTTCAGGCGAAACATGCAACCCTCCTCAACCCAGTTCACCTCCAGTTCTCATCATTCCAGCACACAGGGTTCCTTCCCTCAGAAGTCCTGCTTCACATCACATCCATCCAGATTTTCAGGCTTTTCCCTGCAACCCATCCTCCACCACTACTTGTGTCTAAACTCCATCTCAGGGACACTCACTGAATCTCTACCCCCTAAAATTTTGATGACATGGCAATGGAGTCACCAAAGACTCATATTTCCACCATCTGTGCACGAGGTCAATATTTGATTTCAAATTTTGATTAAGCCTCTCCCGATTAAAATAAAGTGTGACTGAACTCACCTGTTTCTGAAGTTGCCATAATGTCTCTAATGTCACTCTGCTGGAAACATCAGAGACTGACTCAAGTGGAAACCAACTGCTGGGTTTAGAAACCTAAAAAGAAGAACATTAAATGTTTAGCTTTCTTGTTTGTTAAATTGTCTTATTTGATCTGTTGTTGCCCCGTGTAAACATCCCAACACACACACACACACACACACACACACACACACACACACACAAAGCTTCTCAAAAATAATCATAATGTAGAAGCCATATGTGTGTGTGTCATGTTGGTAAGTCTGAATGTCTATGTGATGTGGGTGAGTACACGCTATTGGTGTTTGGGTGGTGGGCGTGTCACTGTGTGGTGCCCTCTGTGATTGCAGATGATTATGCTCAGCTGTTGTCAGTTCTGTGTTTGTCCACGAAGGAGGGTGAGTTAAGCTAACGCTTAAACCATCACGTTATTAATCCTGTTACTTGTATCATTATTTTACCTTGCACTAGCGCATGTGTCAAATGCATGGCTTTGTGATATGGCATTAAAGAGAAATGAACCGAGTAAAGGTGAGAGTGTGAATCAGTTTGTGGGCGCGTCAAAGTTATCTCCTGTGCTTAGCCTCCTGCGGCGTGCCGGTTTTATAGTGATCGTCAGTCAGCCGCAATACATAATACTGATGATTAGAATTTTGCCAAGACAACCTCAACAATATATCTCGCACTAATTCAGGCATATTTTAAAGGATCACTACGACACCGTTTAGGACTCTCTTATTCAGATGACTCTGATACAAAAGTTAAGGGAGGAAGCTGTACACTTTTCTTTCACCTGTTAAAATGACAAATGTCGTCAACAGCATGTTATGAACTCGAGGGAAACTGAAGTGCAGGACACAGGATGGGGATGCTGAAAAGGGTTATTGTCACAAGAAATGAGAATGATCATGATCTGGGGTCCGGGGCCTGTGGAATGGAGTGGAGGAGGCTGAGAGGAGGAGAGACTAGACGGTAGGAGAAGGATGATCCTGAACACGGGAAAAACTCACAAAGAATAAAGTTAGGAAGAATGTCTTAGTTGAGGTTATCTACCACTCAGCTGAACAACTATCTGGCAGAGAGTGGTTAAAGAGCTGGAGGACAACTATTGCATGGTAATGAGCAGATGGCAGGTAGGTGAGTATGGTGAGCAGAGGCAGGAACCAGGGAAACCAGGAAGGGAGACCACGCCCACACCACAACACACATATTGAAAAAAAAAAAAACAACCTTCTTCCAACACTAGAATTAAGATAAAAATATTCACACAAAACGCTAATGGTCAGTGATAAGTAGTGTTTAACTTTTGATTGAACACTAAATTAAAACCCTCGGTGCACACTGCAGCACAATCAAACAGATGCGCAACTCAGAGCATCTGAAGTGTCTCTGACACCAGACTCAGAGCGGACCGGTGGAACTGGAAAATGCATATTAGGCCTACTAGTTACTACTAGTTACTACTTACGTTTTTCAAGTGATTTCCCAAATTTGTTGTTGAGTTGTGATATGCCAATTGCTTTTGGCAAATCTGGCACTCTGCTTTCTGGGGGTTGTCGGGGCATATTTTAAAGTGCAACCACACATCTGATGACCTCCTGGACATGTCTGCAGCTCTGAGTGCGCTCGTTGTCAGTATGGGACTGGTGGGGGTTAGTGTTGCGTTTAAAGGTATAATATGTAGTTTTTCCACATAAAAATATCTAAAAATGACTAAACCAATATTATATATTTTGTTTAGTTGTGTACTTTGATTATCAGAAATGTTTCCAACAATTTTTCAAACCCAGATAAATATGAAATATTAATAAAAGTTACGGACCGTGTCATTAGGTTGCATGTCAATGGCAACGTAACTCCAGTTACCATAGCCATTAAATGAAGGAGAAGAAGAAGAAGCAGACCGGATGAGATGTCAGAGAATGAACGTCACTGTTGCTAGGCTAAGCTAACTCGTCATGGATCATGATTATGCACTGATGGTTGCTGCACCTTCTGACACCGAAGCTGTCCCGGTAAACAAGCCGGTAAAACGGAAGCGTACGGGTCAACCAAGCGATCCCAGAAGAATTTGGGATAAGAAGAGAGCTAAATTAAGGATAAATATTGGTGTGGCCTTTCCGAGATGGAGAAAGCTTCGTGAAAATCTAGGACTACAATTCGACGCCGACCTCGCGTGTGTTCTACTAGACAGGTAAGCAAACATCTGGCTGATGTTACCGAAATATTAATCATTTCCACCAATGTATTGCAAGCACTGCTGCCCGCCGGGGCACCAACACTCCGGCCAGCGGCCTCCGCTGCGGAGCGGAGTGGAGGCTGGCTAACCACAACATCTAACGATGGGTTTCTATAATGCTGAGCTGATTCCGGTAAATGAACTGCATTTATAAAAGAGGCAGAGGAATAGCTAAACATAAGACGCACTGAGCAAGACAGAGCAGCAGAGAGGGAGAAGCCATCGCTTCTAGCAACTAGCAGATTGCTAACCGCTCAGCTAAAGTAAGTAGCTTGCTCTGCCAAAAAAACCTGCCACTGTCAGTTTCGGTTTCACGGAGTGAGGAATGTCAGATCTGTATCTGTTATATGACTACAACTCCCATGATCCCACGCTACTTCGTGACATCATCCAACTCCGTCTTCTGCTATTGTTTTGGTTTGAGACCCCCAGCAGCAGAAAATTACATATTGCACGTTTAAGGCCCCCCCCCCAAAAAACGGAAAAAAAGTGCCAAAACTTCAATTTTTTTTTTCACAATCGAATCCCGTGCCATCGAATGAGGCTTCGAATTTTTTGGGTCAGCCCTAACTACTAT